CCACGCTAGTAGTAACAGGTGCCTTACTAGTAGTAACAAGAAGCTAGTAGTAACAGGTGCCACGCTAGTAGTAACAGGTGCCTTACTAGTAGTAACCATGTTCGCTACATTTTCGGGGCTCCTGGCATCGCGAACCGAACGGAGCGTTCGGACGCTACGTGCTTCGTGTCATGGCGTCGGACCTCTGAGCGAGGGGAACGGCGGATGGAATCACCGTGGTCGATCAGCTGCAATGGAGTTGTTCAGTTCTGCCCTTTACATTGCAAACAAGTATGTTATATATACCCTGGGAGTCAAAGACTATACAAAGAATGGTCTTTAGGTGACCCAAAAAGGAAGTTCCTTTGCTTCAGTCGATCAAAATATAGTTTTTCGACTTCTAGTGTGTATATATATACCTTTCTCAAGGATATCTTATCCCAACAAATGAGTCTTGCAGGCCTGTTTCAACCAGGTTCGTTCTTGAATTGAACCAGATCAATGCTTTCAAATCTTGGTAGATGAGAGGCCATCGCTTCGCTACTAGGGTGGAGGCCATTCGTTTTGGTTGTGCATTAAATTGAGTCAATACTATACAGTTTCTCAGTCGCTTGAACTTGACCCATGAGTTGTCAGACACACAAACCCCTTGGTCTCCACACCACTGAGTCCTCTTTCCGGACATTCTCACCTCAGGAGGTCCGAAGATGAACTAGAAATGTGAGCCAGCTCTGGAACTCGTAATGTAACTGTAACATCACTTCGAAGCAAAGAATTAACCAAGGCAGTTCGGCAAGCTCAGAGTTGCATGAAAATCGCAATCCAACGTTCTGGTGTGCTTCTCAATTCTCGGCAACTTTGGTCGAGTCATCCGCATGTTCCTCCCCGACAAGCAGAGAAAGTACGAGGATGATCAATGCCCTCGATGTATTATCCATGCCCTTACAACAGTACTGCTCCACTGCGCCACGTTTATGTCTTGACCGTAGCTTTGGCCACTCAAGCAAGATGTCCACGATCAACAGTCATACCCCAAAGTTCTCCACCGTTTCCTCGGGAAGCTACTCCACAATCTCCTGCTCACAGCTTTTTGGGCTCGTGTTCCGGTCAAATCATGGCTTTGGGGTCCTGCAACGCGGTGGGAAAAAGCTTTGGCTTCGGATTGTGAGATTTCCAAATGGATTCCTTCTCAAAAAACAAACGAAACACCGATGGATTTCTTCTCCGGCGCCCACGCAGGCTTCGGCACGCCCGGTTCCGTCTCCCCCGGGGCGTCCGTGCGGAAGACCCGCGCCAGGTCCACCGTGGTGATATTCAACGACCTCCGCCAGTCCGGTCGACCGGTGAGTGGAGTGGGACGGGCAGGGCGGGTGGAGTCCAAGGTTTGGTCCAACCACTTCGAAGCAACTCCTTCGGATCCCAGTTGGAAGCTGCATCCGAAATGGGCTCCCGAAGCACCGGCAAGAAAGGCGCAGCCGAAGTGGGCGCAGCCGAAGTGGACGTCCGGCAATGTGGGAGGCACTGCGAAGCGCGGAAGAGCGCTTCCAAAGCAATTTGATGAGCAGCAGAAATGTTCAGAACCCAAATCATGGGGTCGGCCACATGTGCATCCCCTTAAAGCCTTCAGCTGAGACTGTTTTGCTTCGACCACACCAATGTCTTGGCTTCAAAAAGGGTTGCACCACCTATACCACGAGCATGGTCCAAAACTACCCCCAAGCGACGTGACGCTTCATGCGTGAAGCAACGCCGCCCACGGTCGGGCGCTTTTCAGGGCGGCTCGTCCTCGCTTCTCTGGTCGATCACCGCCTGCCCACAACGCGGAGAACACAACACGAGGAATGCACGCAAGGAAGGCATGCGGGGAACGCGGTCTAATCGCTGGTATACCCTGCCATTCGGTTGAATGTTTTTGGTGCGGTTGGAACACTGCTTTCCGCGGATCTGCGGCGTTCGAGTAGCTGAAATAGCTAGGGTAAAGAAAGAAAGACAGGTGGCTTCGTTCGAGTCACAAAAATCTAGAAAGGTCCTTGTCTTAGACAAATCCATCATGATATTACAGGCCCCTCAGAACTCTTGGCTCAATTCTCAAATGGTGATCGGTGATTGATAGGTGTTGCCCAAAATGGTCTTTCGCATTGGTTCACCAGGAAACTGGTCTTCTTTTTTCATTCTTGGACTCAGAGTTCATCACTCCATGAGCACGAGACCTGGACCGTGGACCCACCCAGCGCCTCCAGCGCAGCCGCATAGCGGTTGGCATCATGGTCGCTCTGAAGCCCTTCGGCCAACAGAGCTTCGCGGCCAAAGTCCTGTATAGCCACGCGTGGAACGAGCGCCAGAGCTTCGCGGTGGCAACGACGAAGATCAGGGTGCAATGAAGTTCATGTGGTGGTTTAGGGATGTTTAGGGGAGAGGTCTGTTCTTCTTAGGGGAAGTGGCTGGAAGAGAAAAAGAAGACGCCGTTCAGCCACTCGTCCACCATTGTCTGCCTTTTCTGCAGCGTCCTTTTCTACAAACTTCTGGGTAGTGTGCAAAGAAAACATATTGGACGAGCACTTTCCAAAACGTTCGAAGTTCATCTCAAGCAGGATGAACTGAAGTTGCCCCTGATGCTCAAAAGTCTCATTGCACCTTCGGCATCACCAGCCATAAGCAAGCTAGAAATGGACCCAGCAACCTGACAACGAACAGATCCTTCTCTGATCATCCATGAAGCCCGTCCCTTCCGAGAGAGCACCGTGCTTTCCTATCATGGATCCCCTTTGTGGCTGCACTTGCACATGTCACATGGCTACATCCTTCATCATCCGGATGTGGCTGCTTCGTCCACCTGTCGCGGCCGAACAAAAGAACCCTCGAACAAGACCACCGGTCACCAATATCCACCAGAAAGAAATATCAGTGAAAACTCTTCATGTCTTCTCTTAAGACTCTCGAATCCGTGACAGAGGTTGAGCGCTCTCTCCCCAAAGGCAGCCTTTGTCCCGTTTCCCCAACCCTCTCCTCAGGACTCAACGGCGCACAAATGCCTTGGACGGGTGAAGGCACTTGTCCGTCCTGTAAAACCAGGAAGGAGCCAGGAACGAGATCTGGACGGTGCGCAGTCGGTGTTCACGTCCGACTTTCGAGACGATCGACCAGTGATTAGGTAGCTTCTTGTTACTAGTAGTAAGGCCAGGAGCCCCTAATAGCGTCCTTGCTCCTAGTAGTAAGGCCAGGAGCCCCTAATAGCGTGCTTGCTCCTAGTAGTAAGGCCAGGAGCCCCTAATAGCGTCCTTGCTCCTAGTAGTAAGGCCAGGAGCCCCTAATAGCGTGCTTGCTCCTAGTAGCGATGCCAGGAGCCCCTAGTAGCGTCCTTGCTCCTAGTAGTAAGGCCAGGAGCCCCTAGTAGCTTCTTGTTCCTAGTAGCGATGCCAGGAGCCCCTAGTAGCGTCCTTGCTCCTAGTAGGGCCAGGAGCCCCTAGTAGCTTCTTGTTCCTAGTAGCGATGCCAGGAGCCCCTAGTAGCGTCCTTGCTCCTAGTAGTAAGGCCAGGAGCCCCTAATAGCGTCCTTGCTCCTAGTAGCGATGCCAGGAGCCCCTAGTAGCGTCCTTGCTCCTAATAGTAAGGCCAGGAGCCCCTAGTGGCTTCTTGTTACTAGTCTTTGAGAGTTATCAGTCTTGGCTTTCGCCGCCACAGGTCGAAAGCCTCCTAGCGTCCGAGCACTGATGGCTGACATCACAGATGGCCCTGCCACATCCTTTCTCTCCCACAATTAGCACACTCCGGGTTGGAAAACTCTTCAATCAATTGCACAAAGAAGGCCTCACATGAATCATGCGTTCTCTCCCTTCATCTCATTCCCAGATCCATCCTCCCCCAGTCTTCGCTCCCAAAAACGAGCACCAAACGGCAGAAACCACCCTGCGGTCACACCGAGTGGCGGAGGCACTGGCGCCGTGCCACGCGGAGCTCGGTGGTGAGATCCTCCAGCCACCGCCGGCGCTCCTCCTCCTCGGCGGGAGCGGCGGCGGCCCGCGGGCGAGAGCAACGGGTGAAGAGGACACCGAAGAGGTTGAGAGATGAACGCCGCCCGTGTGCGGTGAGAGGAACGGTCGATTGGTGGCAACGGGTGGCAATGGGTGTGCAGCTGCTGACTTGGTACAGCATAGAATCCAGCAAAATGCTGGTGATGTTGCAGAAAAAGAGTGGCATTGCGAGCATCTAGTTACGGTCAGTGCTAGCTAGTCATGCACGCTCAATGTAGAGATTGTTCAATAGCGGTTCACTTGGTGACTTGGGTGAGGGGGGTCGTCAGCTTCCTATGATTCATCCATTGTTGGTCACATTATCTCACATTGTCGCTGACTGATGATGCCACCGAGCTCAGCACGAGCAGAGCTGCTGCGACCCTGACCCTGCATTATCTCACATTAAGATTGCTTGAATAATACTTGAAGTTACTAGTAGTAACAAGAAGCTAGTAGTAACAGGTGCCACGCTAGTAGTAACAGGTGCCTTACTAGTAGTAACAAGAAGCTAG